TATATTCGATACAGTATTACCTAATACACTTATACTTAGTGCATAGTATATAGCGTAAGTATAAGTATATATATATATATATATATATATATATAGACACACACGCCCGCTTCGTAGTACTATTCTTCCCTTGTATTACAAAAGTGTTAACGACTTACATTTATATTATTTACATAGTAAATACAAAAGTGATTTTTAATTTTGACCATNACCAATGTTGGTCGCTATCAACTTTTCCTTCAATTAACGACCAACGTTGGTCGCAAGTTTTAAATTACATATATTTATATTTTATAAGTTTTATAAAATAATAATAAAATTATTAACAAATTTAATGTGGGTCCCACTTTAGCGACCAATATTGGTCGCTAATTTCACTATATATTTGACCAAGCAAGTCTGATCAGTCCAGTCAACAATTTGACTAAATTTGCGGCCAAATAGCGACCAACTTTGGTCGCTAAAGTATTTCAAATATTTTTATTATTATTTTCGGCAGTTTGGCGACCAACTTTGGTCGCTTTTCTTGACAGACCAAATTTGGTCGCTTTTTCCCGGATTTCTAGTAGTGCAAGGAACTCTTTTAGGCTACATTTTTTCCACATACAAGAAAACGTAACAAATACCAGCGGCCGAAGCCACATTTTCCAAAGGGGTTCAACTGAATCACCTTTGCCGGGAAATTATATTATGTATATATGTGAAGTTTTTTTTTACGTGTATCCGACACTAACAATTACATGACAAGTACGGGCGTATGACTAATTGTGGCTCTATGCACATTGTAGGTGTTGCTAGGGCATGTGGTTGGCAGCATATCGGATCCTATATCAATCTTGCTTCATTTTGCCTTTATGGGATTCCTATCGCTGCTTCATTAGCTTTCTGACGTAACGTTAGGGGAAAAGGCCTATGGATCGACATTCTTTCTGGTGCTACTCTACAGGCTATTTTACTCTGTGATAACATGCTATACAAATTGAAAAAAACAAGCTGCAATGGCAAGGGAGAGGGAGAGGGAGAGGTCTCATTCCGATGAAAAATCATCATCGATGGGAGGCCTATTAATGAATTGTATTTCTCCTCTGTGTTGAAGTCTAGAAGAGGTTACATAATGCTGAACTATTCTTCCACATGATAGTGCAAGTGATTTTGGATTGGCCAAGCTCCTCCCATATTTGTCTGGGGAAAGCAACCTTAACCAGTTCAGCTCGCTTGGGATAAAGCTAACTACTGAATAGTTATGAGATCCTATTGCTGGAGATTTTCACCAGAAAAAGGCCCAGAGGTGGATCCTATAGTTGAAACTCTATGGTTTCAACATTTAAGGTTCTTAACATTGAGCTTATTAATTATATCTTTGAAGTTATGAACTCATATCTACTATTTGATGTAATGTTAGTAAATTTTTAAACACAAATTTATGCTCTGCATCGAAAGTTATGGGTTCAATTGAACCTATAGATATAAAGCTACATCCGCCCCTAAAAAGGCCCATTGACAAACTGCTTGAAGACAATGTGAATCTCCACATTAATATAGCTAGTTAGATCAGCAACGAGGAGAAGAGGGAAGTTTTTTTTACTGAACTCTTCTCTCTGCAATTCAGTAAATGAACCAATTTTTCGCAAGCAACTGAGACAGCCAATCTGCTAAACTTGTCGCACAACTAGACAAAACCAACCACTCCTATATGGAATGGATAATCATCTTGAAACAGTTGACTCTATCGACTAAGCAGGCCTAAAAAAGCTAATAAAGTTTAGCACGTACTAGAATCCTCGTCATTTTTCCACAACACAGAAGCAAACAGGGAAAAATAGAAGAAGACGGTAGATTAGTGGTTTAAGGTATTTATTCCTATAATCACCTCGTCATTGGAAACCAGTGCTCTTAGAACTAGATAGATCAGCACAAGAACAACAAAATAAACGCAAAATGCAGAAGAAGAAAAAATACAAAAGAAAACAAAAATTGAAAAACCCAAACAAGTAGTAGAAAAATCTAGCCATCATTCCTGAGAAGCTTTCAGAGCATCAGTCATCAAGTTCACTTGTTCCTCCATCAGTGTTATCTCATCCAAATGGTGTTCAGCCCTAGAAATCTTCATGGAATGCGACTTCTTCAATATTTCATGTCTTTGTTCTTTGCTAATCAACCCCGGGTTCCTTCTAAACCAATCTTCTAAATCAGCCGCATTCCCTCCGTGTAAAACCAAACTCGAACCTGAATTACCACCACACAAACTGTTTTTTTCTTTTGCAACAATCATTTTACCAGCTTTCGGCGGATCGTCATCAACCTTGGCTGCTCTCTTTTCTTTGTCAACTATGTTATCACCCCAAATTGTTTGTGAGAGTTTGAACAACTTCTCCTCGCGAGGCTTCGCAAAGCTCCTTTTGCCAATATTATTCATATATTTTCTTTTAATTCTCCTAATTTTTTCTTTCAGTTGATTTATGTTCACTTCGGCTTGCAATTTGTCCTTGATAAAAGTGTAAAAAGCATCATAATTTGTTGTGGGGCTGGCATTCTTTTTGGATTCATAATCAATCATTCCTTCGAGGATAACTATTTCATCTTCCTCGTTCCATAACCTTTGAAAGCTCTTTGCATTCACACTAGCACCCTTCTTTGCTGACTGTTCAGTTGTCCGTTTCTTTTTATTGTTGGAACGAGAAGGAAGTGTCCAGTCTTTGTCAGATTCTTCAAGGGGATCATCAGGGTGCTTTTTGGCATTTTTCTGCATGAGTTCTTGATTTTTGTTTAAGTTTAGAGAAGCCATTTGATAAAAGGAGAGAGGAAGCAGTGCTATTTGAACTGTTTTGATTTTTTATTGGAATCTTTTGTTTTTATTTTCGTGTTGAATACCTGTTTAAATACTAAAGCATCAATGAAACTAATCGACAGTACAACTTCCCTCGGTTATGGTTAATTAATCACGGTGTAGTTCTCAAAAACCTTTCAAAGTCAACATTAAAAAATTTCACATTTGATCTTCTGTTCTTTTTTTCCTTCTTTTAGTATTCCCAAGCTTAACTATTCAAATTCTATATGGTTTTATAAATTCTTGAAGTCCGCTTCCGAATCTCTTTTAGACTTTACTAGTTTTAGGATACCTACTTTGCGTGTTTACTCGTACTAATGAATATATAATTTTATAATGTATTTGAGAATGAATGTTGAACCCATTGGCCTAGTTCAATAAAGAAAGTGATCATGTCCCAAAAAAATTTCACAAATGCCTTATTGTGATTTTGAGGATTTTTCAAGAAATATTTAAGAAAATTGTAGATATTTTAATGACCTAAAAATGAAAATAAACAATGCAAAAATACTTTTACCACTATTTTTCAAAGATTTAACAAATAATTCAAATAAAAAAAATCTTTTGATCTTTTTGATTTTTGGGAATGAGGAATTTAGCTTATAGCCCTTAAAATTTTGATACGTGACAATTTATAGTCTAAAATGACTAACATTTAGTTAATATTAAATAATTAATATATATGAAAATATATAGGGACATGTCATTTGTTGGAACAAATATGAACATAAAATTTAATTTATGACAATTCAAATGCAATATATCTTGTCTTTTACTATTTCATCTTTATTACTTCAAGATTGTATTTTACCAATTCCACTTTGAATGTTATATTATTGTTTTTTCTTTATTTTTTAATTTCTTTCACTGCTCATGTGTCAAGACCCGAATCAGAGGGCTGCGACGAGCACCCGGTATTTTTCTCAACCGAGTACTAATGTAACATATCTTTCTTATCATACTATCGTGAGTAAATGAGCCAGAAAACCCGTCATGAGATAACAAGAATAAAACATAAGGGAATACTCAACATATGAAGACCCAAAATGATATACAACTTTTATATGTGACATACGGGCCTATAAGGCCGACATGACCATTTGTAAACTCAAAACATAGGCCGACAAGGCCATACAAGTATCCCTACACCTGACATCTGTCTACAAGCCTCTAAGAGTACATAAAATCATAAAGGTTGGGACAGGGCCCCGCCATACCAATCAATACATATCCAAAGCATACTGACCAAATAGGCAACTTCGGAGCAAGTGAAGTGCACCAACACCTTCGCTGAGCTGATAGCCTACTAGGAGGACTGTCAACCTATCAATCGGGACCTGTGGGCATGAAACGCAGCGTCCCCAGGCAAAAGGGACGTTCGTACGAATAAAGTATCGAGTATGTAAGGCCGGAAAGCATAAACAAGAATAGTAATGTAAAGAGAGCTAGACGAGATATAACCTGTAACATCTGAGTGCCTCTGGGGGCTACCGACATGAAATGCATAATACATATATATACATGAACTTTTTAAAAACATTCACCTTTGTGGGCATCATCATCATCATATCGTACCCGGCCTCAAAGAGCACTCGGTAAAAACGTACCCGACCATCATAAGGCTCGGTAGAATCGTACCCAGCCACGCGAAGCTTGGAAAACCCAACTGATCAGTGGTTTCACAATAGGTGTCGTACCTGACCGACTATAGCGCGACTCGGTAGAGTAAAATAGATACATATATATAATACATGCTCGACTCATGAAATCACGTTCTAAACCTTTTGGAGTGACTTAAGAACATTATGGACATCCCTACCATCAATATAAACCTTAGTAGGATTTAAGGATCATACACACTTATTTAGAATAACTTTATAAGGAAAGAACAACATGGACAACCTTAGTTTCTAGGAGTAGATCCATTATGAGTTAGCGTACCGTTTATGTTCATGTCACTTTAGATCATGCCAAAAGAAAGAAGTAAGTGCCTTAACATACCTTGTATATTCTTCCCAGCCTCAAGCTTATGCAATTTCACGGCTCATTAGTCTACAATAAGAGAAATGACACTCTCGTTATCGTTTAAGCGTCGTAACTATTATGTATCGACCACAACCTATTTTACAATGAAACGAACAACACCTCCCCTATATATATGACTTCACACTAGTCAAAACAATCAAAAACAGCCCAACATACCCCTATCACTTCATACACAATACGACAACCATAATAGTGTCACCCAACCCGAAAATGTTACGACGAACGAATAACAAACAACCTTTCCATTATGTGGTGTTTCTCCACACCCTTCCTCCTCTAAACTCCATAAAAATAGTAGTAAAAGGGACAACCCAATACCAACACAAAACATCCCAAAAATATTCCCACAAGTTCATCAGCTCAAAAATAATTTTTCGGTTTACTTAAACACGTTTCGACTTGTCTTTTCTTTCAAATTGAAAAATACAACCAAAAATACATCATTATACCTCTTATCCAATAAAAAAGCCATGAATTCAACTTAAAAATAAGTTTACAATTAGCCAACCATTACACAAGAACAAACAATATACCATTCTTTCGAAACTAACTAGATCTATTCTTTACGATCGAGTTACAACTCGCAAACGCATAGATAATGGAAAGAGAAACATAAACTTACCTTGTACTGAGTATAACCCATGAAACCTGGTCCATTTTCATCAAAAATAAGTTCCTCAACATGGCTGCAAGAAGGAGAAAGAGAAACTAGCAAGCTGTCCGGACTTTTCAGCACTAGAATCGCGTCGTAACTCCCGGAATACCCTAGGGTTTGTGTGGGATTTTTGGGGAGGATTTGCAGGGGTTAAATTAGGTTTTCTTGGTCTTAAAGATAGGTAAAATAACTGAGTTTATAATCCCTTAAAATTACCCTCTTTGCCGACTTAGTTGAGGCCTCTCTTTTTGGCAAGTTGGTGATGCACCTACTTGTCACCTACTAGCTGCGCGGGCTCGCGAAAATGCAAATATCTCTATACTCCAAGATCGTATTGATAAACGGTTTAATGCATTGAAAACTAGACTCATAGATATTCAATTTTATATGTAGATCATCCCTTGATTCAAAGTATGTTGGGAGAAAAGCTCAGCTACATTTAACCTAAGTTTCAACTCATTTTTGAATGTAACTTGTGATGACTTTTTCCAACTTTTGTTCCACAACTTGCTTGACTAAAAAACATAACACACGACTATCATACGACTAAAATAATTCATAACATAACCTCATCATCATGTTAGTCACCCTTGTCTCACCCCAAAAGTATAGGTTATAACATTTCAAACTTGTCGACATTCGACGAAACTTATTTTCTTTAATTAATTTAGCGTCTAAGCTTTCCAACCCTTTTGGTACTCGTTATTCATGATCATAAATATTTATAACCTCCATTATAAAAGTATTAACTTACTTTACGTACTTTCAAAATTTATCTCATTTCTGAGCTTACATCAATTGACTTACGGATACTCTAACATACGAAAACATAGGGTCTAACATCATTCCCCCATTTGGAACATTCGTCCTCGAATGTTGACTGATCCACTTATCATTTTCACAACCCATAGCTCTTGTGAACACTTTAATACTCTTCTATCCATGTAGGCAACTATTCTTTTAACAAATCCAAAGGCTAGGGTATTCCATCTTTAGTCCTTCTTCTCATACCACGACTTGTGGTCAGACCCTTTCCAATCTCGTAACTGTTGCTCCCTTTTGTCATGCAGCATGTACGACTTTTTCCTTGTATGTGCGCCTATGCGACTCTTTTTTTTCTCTCCAGCTTTTATCCAATCTCTAGGTAGCACGTTGTAAACATATACAAAGCTTGATATATTGTCCGTCTGGGCATCTATGTGTATACTGAAGTTCTTCACTCGGTACTTTGTTAAACTTATGACTTTTGCTATATCTTGTTTCATAGCCTCAGTTATCTATGCTTATGGATTTACTATGACTAGGTAGGTCATATTATACAATAACTCTTACTTCGGTTTACTATTACCGAGGTCTACCACCCAACTCCAGGTTACTCTATCACCACTTATCCTATATGTCTCATACTTTGTAATCTTTCTCCATCTATTATTGATTTACCTTAATGTTAATCTGTAATCCACCACTGATAACTTGAAACCTCTTACGTAATACATTGTCACAAGTCTCACGTCTCATCGGGGAACATTTGAAGTGGTTTTCCTGATCCACCTAGGGACAATACTATACTTCAATAACTATATTTCATAGTATCCCAATGTGATTCGTCTTATAGGGGTATCCTAGTCTCGTGACATCCATGAAATCTCTTCTCTTTGAATCATTACTCAAATGAAGGCCTATATATAATCCTTTTATAATTTACCACTATTACACCCTTACATTACGACCAGAGGAGCATTCTATCTCTTCTAAATGCTCCTAGTCTTAGACTCCTCCGTGTTAATTCAAGTTATACTGAGCCTTTTATAGCATATATAAACCATCAGCTCTCTTGTTTGATGGGCTTAATACCGAGGTCTTACCTATTCTTATCAGCTTCTAACTCACCTTTTCTCACCCTTACTCACATCTACCCAAAATCTTTTCACTCTACTATACTTTCGCTTGCGACCTACACATATTTATTTATTCTACTCAGAACCTTCCTTTAACTTGCTAGCACCTTAGATTCCCTTTTGCGCATTCTCAGCTGTCTTTAAATGTAAGCAATTACTTTTTCTGGTCGTTCTGCCACTTGCTGCATGGATACTTGGCTTATTATAGTGCCCACGAACATTGGAATTCCCTGTAACTCGTATGCTCTCAAGTATCACCTTTGATGTTTTTTTTTTCCTTTTTTTCCTGTTCATTAGCCATGATAGGTGCCACTTTCTTATGGAGTGCATGCAATATTATAGTGAGACTGTTGTTACAA